TACCTACAATCAGTCAAAAGAGTGCTTGCTTTTTTCACATGCCCAACAAATGTTTTTTCACATATTTGCTAACATTTATTTAAATTAGAATTCTAAAGATGGAGTCCATCTTTTAAATATTGCTAAATTTTAGATTACACCATTTTGGAAAATGGATTGGAAAGCCATTAGGTGGAGAAAGTTCCAGTGTTCTGGGCTCACAGAAAACAAATCAAATCCCAAAGTGTAGTAGCTTAACCAATCAGAACCATTAACTAACCTCTCTAACATTTAAAATTTAATTAATCTTCTTTTTATTGCTTCTGTGAATACCTTTTAGAAGATTTTTTTCTTGTCACTTGTTGTCTGTATCTCTTGTGGTCTGGAGTTGCCAGAATCATGAATCGCTGTCTGCTTAAATGAATTCAATTTTTTTTGTGCCTAAAATTACCTCCTAATACTATAAAGAGAATAGAAAGCATTTGAATTCATTTAACCATGAGGATTAAAATGTAAATTTTTTCTTACCACACATATATGACAATACTGGACTTAATTCAATATGAGCTAAATATTTAAAATATCTAAGTGTTCAGAATGCAACATATAAAAACAATATGCTGATCTGATTTTCAAGATTTATTATTATTTCAAAATAAATTTAATTTTTATCCATTGGAGTACTATAAAATAATTTTCATAACTAAATAAGTCATTTGTTTATTTTTAAAATTTATTTTTATTTGAAAGGCAGAGAGGAAATCAGGAAGTTAGAGAGGGAGGGAGACAGAGAGATAGATAAGAGATCATCCATCCTCCAATTTGCTCCCCAAATGCCTGCAATAGCCAGGCTGGTATAGGCCAAAGTCCTGAGCCCATAGCTCAATTCACATTTCCCATGCAACAAGGCAGCAAGTACTTGAGTAATCATCTGCTACCTCTCAGGGTGCATGCACTTTGAAGCTGGATCAGAAGAGAAGTAGCCACAATTCAAACCAAACACTCTAACATGTGTTGTGATTGTTCTAAGCAATGACTACTGTAACAAATGCCTGCCCTAAATGATCATTTAGAAATAATAAAAATTCATATAAAGAGTAATAAAGCCAACCATGTGGAATATTATGAATACAAAGAAAATATAAAATTAATGCCAGTGAAAATACTAAAAATTATATGAATTATTTTAAACACTGCTCTTCAAAAAAACTAATGAACATTTTGTTTGTTAACATACTTTTGAGTTGATTGTGCCCTTCGTAAGCGAATGTATAACTATTCAATTTATAAGCTAGATGAAGTAAATTTAATTACATGCTAACATCAAGAATATATTTCTTTCTGAAAAAAAAATTATGTGTAAGATAAACTAAATTTCTTTAAATTTTGACAGAATATCCTATCTCATTTCAGATGTGGATCCTTGTTTGTGCACCCATACAGTAGTGTGTAATCTACATGTCAGTGTGTCACCTAGAATGCATAATGCATGTTTCCAACAAAGACAGACTACCCTACCTATGTGCAGGTATCTTTCTGTTTCCAACAATCAGGATAACATCACAGAGCTGCTGTTGCTTCAAGTAGCTTTCCATTTTTCTGAAGGTTTGCTCAGCATGGTGAACAGCTTGATAGAATTCTTCAGAACAACTTGAGTCCAAATCACTTTGAGGTGCCAGTGAATGGCTGGTTGCTGACAGCCTGTAAATCACAAATGTGATGGTATCGTCAATTGTTCAGAATGACACATTTTTTTGGCATATTTTGAGTACTATCAATGTATCTGTGCTCATTTTCATACTTTTTAAAACAAAAATCCAATAAAACAAGTCTAAAATCTCTACTGTAGGTTAAATGATTAGCTCTAAAAACAAATAATGAATTAAAAGTTACTTTTAACGTTTTCATATTAACAAATAAAATTTGTAAGCCCTTAAGGTGCAATGTGATGTTTCAGTGTGTGTACACATAATATGACATCCAATCAGAATAAACATATCAATCTTCTCTAACACTCAACATTTCTTCATGGTAAAAACATATAAAATCAGTCCTTTTGGTTTATGTATGAGAAATACAGAGCACACTATTATGATCTATAATCACCCTATCATGCAGTTGAACACCAGAACTCCTCACTATGTAACTAAAACTTAATGCTGGTTAACCAAAAATTCCCCCATTCTTCTCACCTCATCCTCCCCTTAGCCTCTTTTTTCTTGCATTATAAAAATTATTTTAAAATGTATTTCCTGTATTTATTAGGACACTAGGTCAGAAAACCTGAAAAAAGGTCACAAAAGTAGTAAAATATTAAAATCTTAAAATTAATGAATGCCAGCCAGGCCGGCACCGCGGCTCACTAGGCTAATCCTCCGCCTTGTGGCACCGGCACACCACGTTCTAGTCCCGGTCAGGGCACCGGATTCTATCCCAGTTGCCCCTCTTCCAGGCCAGCTCTCTGCTATGGCCAGGGAAGTGTAGTGGAGGATGGCCCAAGTCCTTGGGCCCTGCACCCCATGGGAGACCAGGATAAGTACCTGGCTCCTGTCATTGGATCAGCGTGGTGCGCCGGCCGCAACATGCCAGCCGCGGTGGCCATTGGAGGGTGAACCAACGGCAAGGGAAGACCTTTATCTCTGTCTCTCTCTCTCACTGTCCACTCTGCCTGTCAAAAATAAATAAATAAATAAAAATAATTGAATGCCTAATTTCATCAATTTGATGGAATTTAAACAAGTTATTAAAGTGTTTGATAATTTGATCACATTGTTATAGTGTGATTCTTGAGATACACTAAATAGTATTCTGTGTAACAAGTGATTTTTTATCATGAAAAGTTATGAAACATGGTTTGTAAAAAGAGTTGACAATTATACATGAAAGTAAATTCTTGAGTTTGATGTTCTGTATACAACTGATTAACAAAATACATGGAATGTACTAGCTTAGGATATACAGATGTTTTAATTACTGTAATATGTAATAAATGTCACGCTTTTATGAAGCCTGTGAAATTTAAGCTAGGCTACTGTATCTCTTCATAGCATATGTTATTTCACAAAAAGCTTATAAACAGCATACTCCATCAAGGATTAAATCTCAATATGCTTAGATCCATGATACAGCTTACAAGACCCAATTAAGTGCTTAGGTAATAAATATTTTTTTATTTTATTTTATTTTTTGACAGGCAGAGAGAGAGAGAGAGAAAGGTCTTACTTTTTACTTTGGTTCACCCCCAAAGTGGCCACTATGGCTGGCGTGTTGTGGCCGGTGTGCCACGCCCATTCAAAGCCAAGAGCCAAGTGCCTCCTCCTCGTCTCCCATGCGCGTGCAGGGCCCAAGACTTGGGCCATCCTCCACTGCCTTCCTGGGTCACAGCAGAGAGCTGGACTGGAAGAGGAGCAACTGGGACAGAATCCAGCACCCTGACCAGAACTAGAACCCAGGGTGTCAGCACCACAGGTGGAGGATTAGCCTTGTGAGCCATGGCACCGGCCAAGTAGTAAATATTTTAAAAAATTAAAATCAAAAACAAATAACATAAGTAAAATAATAAATTTATTATCATATGAAATGTCTTAACATCAGAATTCTACTTCCAATTGCAATGTTAGAATTTGTAGCTGACTGAATCTCCTACCCAGGACACTAGAAAGCAAGTTATATTTATTATCAAAGGAGTTATGTGAATCCAGTAAAACCTAAGAAAGCAACTAGGACTTAAAGGTTCAAAATCCTACAATAAGGGCCAATCTATTCAAATTAGCTCAAAATTCTTCACTGCCTTTTCTTTCCTTCTCAAAAGTGTGGGGAGCAACCCGGACTGGACTGAGTTACTGGAATTAAGACTTATTCTATGCATCTGCTCTCCCACAATATGGCGCTGGGAGAGAAGAAAACAGCTTCTACACAGCTGCCTCCAGTTCAGCCAATAAACTGTAGGACTTGCTCCTGATTGGAGGAGAGCAGCGTACTCGGCGTGTGGGCAGCTGAGTTAGGATTGGCGGAGGAGGACTATAAAGGAGGAGAGAGACGGCATGCACGAGGAACATCTAAGGGGAACATCTAAGGGGAACACCTGTGCAGCCCCCGAGAGAGCCGGCCGGCAGTGTGCCGCTCCCCTGCGGAAGTGGGGAATGTGGAAGGGGGAACTGCCCTTCCACGGAGGTGGAAGGGTCGGTAGCCAACCTGGGAAGAACCAGCAGCAAACCCGGGGACGGCCGAGCAGACGAAAGAACAGCGCAGGGTTTAGTGTCGTTCCTCCACGAAGAGGGGGAGCGACAAAAAGTATTTACTAAATGTAAACGATGGAATGGAAGTCTAAAAAGTTCAGCATAATGTGGTAACTACACAGAATTTCTGGTGGTAGCATGCAATTTGGAGGAGGGATTAGATATTAGAATCATGGGCTTCAAAGGTATTCAGAGCCTGAGAGCTGAAGCAGATGCCATAAAAGACAAAAGTTCAAGAAGCCATCCTCCTTAACAATTGGCATTTAGAAGAATTTGCTAGTTATTGAGCAGTACCAGACAAGCAGACCAAGACTTACAGGAAGTTGAGAAATTAGAGTCTGGAGGATACATTTTTGAATAGACTATGAATGAGAGTCTCTGGTAAACTCATTTTCATCTGGACTCTCTGAAGGGCTACATTCTAGGAATTAGGAAACTTGATATAGGGAAGATAATACAAAGATTGAAACCTGCATCTGAATCAGTGAAAATCTGATTGCACTAGGGTGATCTTCTAATCTGTTTGAGCAAATATTTAAAATAATTTCTCTTTATAAAAAAAACAATCTCATGCATACCCTCTGGTTCTTATGTATAATTCCTGGCATTAAAGGAAAAAATAAAAGGCTCATGAAGGAGCAGGATCCAGAGAAGAAAACTAGACATAGAGCAGTCTTATGGATGCTACAAATATTTGAATATATAGGTAACAATTATTACATACTAGGTGGGAATACACTTCAATTTTTTTTTTTTTTGACAAATAGTGTTAGACAGTGAGAGAGAGAGACAGAGAGAATGGTCGCCAATCCAAAGCCAGGAGCCAGGTGCCTCCTCCCGGTCTCCCATGCCCGTGCAGGGGTCCAAGCACTTGGGCCATCCTCCACTGCATTCTAGGGCAACAGCAGAGAGGTGGACTGGAAGAGGAGCAACCAGGACTAGAACACGGCGCCCATATGGGATGCTGGTGCCGCAGGCAGAGGATTAACCAAGTGAGCTGCGGCACCGGCCCCACTTCCATTGATAAATTTAAATATAAATTTCAAACTGGCAAACTTCACTGGAATATTAAGTTTCTGAAAAATTTAAATGGAAATAAATAAGGAAATATAATAAATTAAAGATTTAGATAGATGTAATTAGATTGGATGAAGGTGAAGATAAACATAGGGGTCTAGTAAATAAATTAATAGAAAATGCATAACCTAAAACATTGAGATAAAAATAAATAAATCAGAGTCTCAAAAACAAATAAAAAATTAAAATTATTTTTTTCATTTTCAATTATCTTTATATCCAGAAATCAACTTAGTGTATACTAAGTAAAGATTTCAACAGACTGCACCCACAAAGACATACAAAGTATAGAGTACTGTTTGGATAGTAGTTTTACTGTTAATTCGCATGGTACAACACATTAAGGACAGAGGTCCTACATGGGGAGCAGGTGCACCGTGACTCCTGTTGTTTACTTAACAACTGACAATCTTATTTATGACATCAGTAATCACCCGAGTCTCTTGTCATGAGCTGCCAAGGCCATGGAAGCCTCTTGAGTTCACCAACTCCAATCTTATTTAGACAAGGCCATATTCAAAATAGAAGTTCTCTCTTCCCTTCAGAGAAAGGTGCTGCCTTCTTTGATGGCCCATTCTTTCCTCTGGGATCTCATTCACAGAGATCTTTCATTTGGGTCATTTTTTTGCCACTGTGTCTTGGCTTTCCATGCCTGTGAAACTCTCATGGGCTACTTAGCTGGATCCGAATGCCTTAAGGGCTGATTCAGAGGCCAAAGTGCTGTTTAGGGCATTTGCCATTCTATGAGTCTGCTGTGTATCCTGATTCCTAGGTAGGACAATTCTCTCCTTTGTAATTCTATCAGTTAGTATTAGAGACACTAGTCTTGTTTATGTGTTCCCTTTGACACTTAATCCTGTCATTATGATCAATTATGAACTTAAATTGATCACTTTAACAAGTAAGATGGCATTGGTACATGCCACCTTAAGAGGATTAAATTGGAATCCTCTGGCACATTTCTAGCTCTACCATTAGGGGTAAATGCGAGTGAGCATGTGCTGAACTGTTCATCTCTTCTCTTTCTTATCCCCAGTCTTATATAGGGATCACTTTTCAGTTAAATTTAAATGCCTAAAAATAATTGTGTGTTAATTAAAGAGTTCAAACAATGGTATTAAGTGGAACAAAAAATACTAAAAGGAATAAAATAGTCAGGAAAGTGAAGAGACAACTGACAGAATGGGAAAAAATATTTGCAAACTATGTAATAGATAAAGGATTAATAACTAGAATCTACAAAGAGATCAAGAAACCCCACAATATCAAAACAAACAACCCACTTAAGAGATGAGCCAAGGACCACAACAGATATTTTTCAAAAGAGGAAATCCAAATGGCCAACAGACACATGAAAAATGTTCAGGATCACTATCCAACAGGGAA